CTACTCCTCTTAGCTTAAGTTTAACATTATCACCAGCCACTGCTGCACCTCTTTCTTCTTCATCAAATATGATTCCTAACACCTCTACAGAGACCTGTATGAAATGAGTTGTGCAGTTAACTTTATAATCAGAAGACTGCATACAATTCCCTTGGAGTGTGCTTAAAAATAAACCACTAGCAATCCTACCAATTAAAATTTTTTCTTTCATTTATTCAAATATCATAGCTAAAAGAAAAACAAAACCTCGGCATTCTTATTTCATGATATAAAGCTAGATGATAGATCATTTTAAACAAGTAAAAAAAATTGATCCACAACAACATTAACTAATGCAGTGAAAATTTATGTCACCTTGTTGGGCATCAAGAGTAATGTCTCGCCTTTACTAAGTTTTCCAGATTCCACTTTGCCAAGTACTACAGTTCCCATGTCCTGAGGTCACAATCAACAAAACAATTATAACATCAATGTACAAGTAACCATGCTAACGAGCTCCTAAAGATTGGTGGTGTAACAGAGATGATAATATACATGAAAAAGAAAATGTGCATCTGATTGACTGAAAACAAATACACATAACACAAGTGAAAAGTTGTACAACTAGTATAATTTACAAAGTGCTCATGCTGCCACAATTTTTTCTATCTTGACTTTCTGTGATGCATTTTTTGTGCTTATTATTAACAAGTAACACATGATTTCCAGTGAAATTTGATGGTGCCCTACAAGCTTGTTGCTGTCTTTGAAAAATTTACTTGTGCTTATTGACACCAAATTGCACTAAAAAAATGTCATTACCAATAAAAATGGCTCACACAGAAATTGTGGGACAGGTTACCAGGGATAGCATCCCAACTGTGTGCTCAGTTGCTAGCTGCTACACAAGCACTTCAATACTGACAACAAGATCTGGAGTCTTATGTGTTCATTCCGTACCAGCAATAACCTACCTACAAAAAGGGACCAACATGATAAAACAGTTGCATTTACTTACCTTGTATCTCTCTGAAATAGGTATTCTGAGTGGTCCATCAACAGACCGTGTCAATGATGGCAATTCATCAATATATTCCAAAAAAGATTTACCACTGCAACAAAAAATGGCATCAAAAGTCACTTTTCACATTTTGCAATGTATTCCTTCAAATGCTATTCAAAAACACTTTGCTTGAAATGAGTTCTTAACAGAACTGAAGTGTGGAGGAGGGACTTAAGATCAAAGAGGAATTCTTATTATTCACCTGAACCAATTGCATTCTTCAGGATCAAGCCTTTTGCGGAGATTGGCACCTGTCAATCCTGAGCAAGGCATGTAATGGACATCTGTGGGAGAAAACATATATAGACTCAAAAAGAGGCATGGGAAAAATTGTTACTAACAAAGCAAATTACAATTTACCTGTCCTTGGGTTAAAGCCTACTTTCTTAAGGAATGGAGTCAGCTTTGTTTGGATTTCTTCATACCTTAAAGATGTGCAAGAAGCAGTTGAATGTTAGCAAAGGTAAACCTCCCAAAAGCTGGCAATAAAATGAAAGAGTGGCTTGGGAAGTGTTGAACAGACCATAAATGATTAAAGCATTCCAGAGATCAGAGGCACCAACCTTCCTTTATCCCATTCCACAGTTGGATCATCCATTTTATTGACAAGAACAACCAAATGCTTTACCCCTGCTGTTTTGGCCAACATAGCATGCTCTCTGAGAGAAACCAAGAAATAGCAATACTCATCAGGAAATAGGGTTGAAAAAAGAAGGAAAAAAGACAGTAAAGAAAAGTAAAAATAATCAAGTCAGTGGCTACCGAGAGCTAAGCCATCATAAACACAACTGTGCAGTAAACTTTTACCTCGTTTGACCTCCTTTTTCAAAACCAGTTTCAAACTCTCCTTTCCTGGCAGAGATGACCTAACATAACAAAGATGTTGCACAGAGAATAATCAATCGCTCTGACGAAGGGCTAATGCTTGAAATGTCAGCTTTTTTACCTTTTACGGTGGCTAATTTACGTTTTCAACTCAGTTGTTAACACAAAAGTATCGGCCCTATATTTGGTTTGACACTCATTCAATTATATATATACATATATACAATTATATTCTTACCAGTCAATAAAATTGTGTCAAAAATATGTAAAAACTGTAGAGAAATCATGAGAAACAGTGAAGTAGATTCACTACAAAATAGACAGAAGGTAACCATTTAAGCTAAATTTTAGGCACTTTCAGAGATTTTACAGTGGGTTACATGTACCAGTACTTCTTACATGTCTTTTATACCAAGCATTTCATTTGTCATTTATTTAACATAAGACTTCAAATATGTTTGATCATAGTACTCACCAGTACTCCAAGATCAGCTTGTGCTGCTCCACTGATCATGTTTGGAACAAAGCTCTTGTGTCCTGGTGCATCCAGTAATGTGAAATGTTTGTTTGGTGTGTCAAACGCAGCTCTCCCCACTTCAACTGTTTTACCCTAAAGAAGATAGCAATAAAAGAAACAATTCATCAAGTTATGAATAGAAAACCAACCATTTCATGCTAACTGCTAATGCACAATTTCATGATCCCTTCCACTCCCAGCTGTGAGAAAAAAAGAATTTATCCTAAACACTACATCTTCAGGCAGAGACATGACAAGAATAGAGAAATATCCTTTGATTCAGCAACATATTGTCAGAGCCCAAATTGAAAGAAATGCATGGCACACAGTGCCATGGGAGTAAAATGGTCATTACACCAAACCCCAGAATATCAGTAACTGTTATGAAATTGTTTGTGCCCTGATAAAAATGCACACATTTGCTCATTACAAAATGGGAATCCCAATGAGTACACATAAACCTCTAATGGTTCATGTCACAAAATTCAAATGTTCCTGGAGCTGAGCATAGACTACATCAGGGAATTAATACTGTTTCACTTATGAATCATCCAGGTTTCAGAAAGTACCATTTCATATGCCACAGAGTGTTGAATGTATACACTGTTGCCATACCTTATCTCTTTCCTCTTGATTTGTGTCCAATGCCCACGATAAGTACCTACATGAATATCAGTATTACAATGTATCAAAGCTTGATGAAAATGCTGTTCAACAGCCTAGGACAAGAAGGACAACTTTCCAGGCTACCATCTTTTTTTGAGCTGTAAGCAAGTACTGTTGAGATGTCAAATAGCTTTTTGAGCATAAGGGTGATGCAAAATACTCCCAGGGACAAGTCAAGATCCTTTAAAATCATTCTGTCTAAATATAAACTTATTTTACAACAATTTTGTTGAATTTGTTCAAAATGACTTCTCTCAGCCATATTTTGAAAGCTTGTCTCTACCTCAAATGTTCTTTCTTACAGATAACGTTAAGAAATGTCATCTCCCTGAAACAATTAATTCTGCTTTTAGATAAAGTGACATTCATGAGTTGAAGAGGGGTAAAGCTAATGAAAGAGTTTCACCAATTTTTTTTATATTAGACAGAGCACAAGTGCATATAGAATGCTGAATAATTTTGGGCTGGGAACTTTTAGTAAAAGCTTATCTAATGGGATAACAGAGAAAACAATTCTCTTTTTGTCCTGAGTATGATAAGGAGAATTCTAAACCAAACAATACACTTGAACTAATAAACTAACCATGTTTCTCTGTTCTTCTCTTTTGCTTCTCTTTCATACTTTTCCAGTGTTCTCTTGTCAACCTGTCCTGTCAGGTACCTAAAGAGGCACCACGCTATCATTAAGTACTTTGTCATTATGAAATAATACCTCATTGATTTTATTTTAAAACTACTGAAAGAATATTTTCAGTGAATGAAAAAAAAAAAAAAAGCCACAAAAAAAACAACAAAACAACAAAAAAAAACAACAACAGAAAAACAGGTTTCTACAAGGGCCATAACACAATCATTACTTAAAGTAGTTTATCATTCTTAACAATTAATACCTCTGTCAGTACTTTAGTTTTAAGCAACAAATTAAATGAAAGTCATCTCCAGTGTACAAAAAATACAAAAATAAAAGGAAAAACCAAGACTTGAAAAATTGTGGCAAGACAGAGTATAAAATTTTGTTTCAAGAATGTTCTTGTAAATCATTTAGTACACAAATACAAGTAATGAAGCATTTTCATGGTATCCTCATTACTTCTCTAAAACTACATTATTTCATAATCAAACTTACATTACATGTCCACCAATTGTTGATTTTCCAGCATCTGGAAGAAAAAGACAGGTTTCATTATGATTTATATCATGGAAATCTCAAGAGTCATCTCAGGTAACCTAAGTTATTATTAAGTCAACTCAGGATTCTGTTAGTTTTTATAAAAAGTAAATATACTGTGTTTAAATTCTCTCTAAAGCAAATTCAGTTAAGTTGACTCTCTACCAACAAATTGAACCATCTGACCCCTAAGAGTGATATTAATCTAATTTCTTACAATATCACCCCTGGATCACATAATGAAGTCACAAGAATAAGGAACATGATCATCAACTGAAGCTCTTGATTTTTCAACAAATTCTCTTTGTCAGCACCTTAAGAAGTGTACGGGGAACAGTATAGAGAATATGCATACCGATGTTAGCATGTACAGGGTTAAGGAGTACATCTTACAGATAAAAGAAAGAACAAAGTTGTTAAGAAGTTCTGGATCAATATCAGTATCTGGGCAACTGCCCACCTACCCCTCCCCTAACCCAACATTAACCCTAAGTTGTTATCAATTGACTCTTGTTGAGTTAGGGGAAGGGCAGTTGCCCAGATACTGATATTGATGCAAAGTTCTTACCAACATGACCAATGAATATAATATTAAGATGCTCTCTTTTGTCTTCAGGTTCTTCTTCAACTTCTTTCTTTGCTTCTTTTTTCACAGGCTTCACTTCTTCCTGTTCTTCTTCCTCAGCCTCTACTTCAACTGTTTCCTTGGTTTCTAGTAAACAATGATTACAAAGTAAAGCAATTGGGTTTGACTCTGGACATTCTCAAGTTGGTTTTTCTTGTCCAGCAAGGGAAAACCCTAAAAGCAAGGTCAACAGCCAAAAAAAAATTTAACACAACTCAATTCTAAAACATGCTTTCTCCAATTTCTCTTTCCCTTTCCTCTGCCAACTCCATACACCATGTAACATAAACTGATTATTACTTCAACTTGGAGCACATCAACATATACTGTAGATATCTAATTTTTTACCTCCTCTGTCTTCATTTGTTTCTGGTTTCATGTCAATGGGTTCTTTGTCTTCGCCAGGTACATCTCCTTTGATAAAATTTAAAAAATAAATAAGGCAGCTATCTAAGATAACAAAGCAGCTTTCTATTCATCACAACTGATCAGTGTGACTGTCCTGACCACACACAGAACAATCAGAACTGACAAGGCAGCTCTGGTCAAATTGCCTTCCTCCTCCCTTACCTGCCCTTAAAATAGAACCACTTTCCTTTCTTACTTCTGTGCAGACTACTTCTAAATTGCAGTTACCAGTTCCAAACAAGTAGGATTTCATGGCCAAATGGTCATGCTCTATACTCTGAATCTTGAGATCAAGGTTTGAGCTGTAGCTGGGCTCACTGTGTTATTTTCTTGGGTAATATTGCTTTGCTTAGTATTTTGTCTGCAGAGAGTACAGAGGAAGGGGGGGGGAGAGAGATGGCAATACTTTGTGTGAATTCATGCTTCTGGAACTTGGATACCCTCTGACAGGAGATGTCTCCAGGTTCTTGAACCTACTTAATTACCACCCATCTTTCCCCACCTAATTTTATTCCATAGATCAGGACACAACCTTACTAAAATCATATATTTTCTGTACATCTAGTTTCTTCCCCCTGACTTGAAAAACACTGCCTCTATACCTGGGATGTGGGAGAGAGGGAAACTCTATTTTCACTTTTTGAAAATAAAGGGGGAAATGCCAAGTACGCTTCATAATTAGGAACATTCTAGAGGAGACTTATAGAAAATGGCTTAAAAATTGGCCTAAAAACCAGAGGGGTAGTCTTGAAAACGACTGTTGTTGGTGTCACTGACTAAAGAAAGCAGCAGTGGTAGACATCAACAGAGACATAATTGTACAATGACAAAATCTACATTAAACAAGTTCCTTTCACGATTTTGAAACGAATTTCAGTATTATGAATTGCAAACAACTGTTTATGATCATACAGTTGTGAAAACATCAGATCAATTCATTAAATATTCTACAATACTCACCCTTAATAGTGTCCGAATTTTTCTCGGCAATTTCCGACTGATCAACATCCCCATTTGTAGAAGGAGAAGCTGAATCATAAACAAACCAAAATAGGAACTACCCGTTATAACTGTGAAACAACTTTCTCATAAAAGTCACAAGATCAAAGGCAATACCAACTGAGAGTTTGCACAAGCGCTAATATTAATTTAACGTGGATTTAAGAGTTTACACAATGGCCTTTTGACTGTACGGAAAGCACAAAACAGACTTTTCAATACGTAACATCGACTGTTTTTGATCACATCATCAGAGAAGTGAAAAGAGAAATGACTCCAATCTGATCGTGACAGAGCACGAGTACAGCGGTACAATGAATGGTCTGGGAAAATTGATATAAAACTTCATCAAGATACGATTGTGGTCAGAGTATTCACCCATAATGATGATAGAGTGAGGATCAACAAAGAGGATAGGGCCTTACCATCAGTCGTCACTGTTTTCAAAAACGAAGGAACAAATGCCGGCGCATTGACGTTTGGTACAAAAGGTTTTGCGTTTACATTGAGCGAATGAAGTTGGGCACTCAAATCGCTTGTTCCTTCACTCATTTCTCCTGGGCCAGGATCGTCTAAAGAATCCCACGAATCTGGTGCGTTTGCGTCTGAATCCATTCCTCGATCGTGCTGTTTCTAAGATATTTTGATGGCTTGGTTATGAAAAAGTTGACTTTTGTGTTATTTTTTCCCCCGGTTACTTTGGCCCACGAGAAATGGTGCAATTTCCACGCCGGTTCGTAGGGCATTGAGCATGCTTGAAAACACCGCTGGCAATCGGAGGCTCGTCTGCATACATACATTCGTGGCTGACACTTAGCTATATAAAGAAAATTTACAGGTCAGTCACTAAAGAAAAGATAAATAAATAAACCTAGAAGCTATATAAAAGTGTTTAAAATGATTTAGTATCATGGAACTGTGTAAAATTATAAAAATAAACAAAAACCAGGTGTGTACCTCGCGCGCGTGTAAAGCGCGCGATAAGCACGCGTGGCAGGGATGAAAATTTTAGTGCCATACCGTAAAATTCCGAAAATAAGCCCCTCCATGTATAAGCCCCTCCGTATCGAAACTCCCCCAAATCTGAAACGCAAAAATACTTCCTATAATAAGCCCCTCCGAATATAAGCCCCCGGGGGTTTGTATTTGGAAATTATCCTCAGTTATACAAACCAAAGCAAACTACACATAATCACCATTATCAGGAAGCCGCAAATTTCCTTCCTATAATAAGCCCTTCGGAATATAGTTCCTTCCAAAAATAAGACCCTCAAAAAGTTCCTTTGAAAAATATAAGCCCCGGGGCTTATTTTCAGAATTTTACGGTATCCGTAAATCTTGCGGAAAAACAGTGAACTAAACTATCATTCTGACTGTGCAAAAAAATGCATTACACAGAAACGGAGGTGACAACCAACAGAAGTGTTTCATGTACTGGGACTTAAATGAGTTTCTCTCTAGTAATGAGGAGGGGGGCATCGGGATTTTCGGTTTTGCGGTTTTGGCTATATTTTAAATCGGTTATTCGGTTTTTGTGCCAAAAAACTTCGGTTTTTCGGTTTTGGTGTTCGTTGCGGTTTACGCATTTTCCGTATTTTGGCATTTGGTTTTCGCTTTCCGCGAAAACTATTGACGGGTTTTCGGATTTGATACTCGATGCGGTTTTCGGTTTTTCCTATGGGTTCCGGTTTCTCTTCGATCTGAGCGGCAATTACGCGCCTCCACAGATCTCGAATAGCGGCTAAACGCAAATGTTATCGAGAGGAATGCGTGACGAACCAATTGAAATATCGCAGGGATTCCTAGGTAGCTTACGTGTAGCCGTACCCCCCTAAGGTGGGGGGAGGGGAGGGTACGGCTACGCGAACATTGCTAGAATTTCTTAATCAATGCCACCTTGAAGTTGGTGACCAAGTTACAGGCCAAACTTTCAGGTCTTAGTTCGCAAATGGAAATGTTAGATTAGGGAATCTCGATGAAACTTTCCAGAGCTATAGCATTTT